TAATAATAATAATAATAATAATAATAATAATAATAATAATAATTGCAATTACTACTGCTGTTTTTGTTAGTGTTGTTTTTTAATTGTTGTTATTGTTGACAATTGCACCAGTTTTCATTTTGCTGCGTTTCTAGTAAGGCCTTGAAAAACATTTTTTTATTTGCCATAACACACACCCACTTTCAAAGCTACATATTTCTTTAAACTGAGCGCACCGTTCCAGTACATCACTCATTTGCAACATTCCCTTTTTTAAGCGCTGATATGAAAAAACAAAACATTAAATAATGAGTTGTTTTTTTTTATGCTGAACCCTTTTCACCTTTGATGGTCAACGAAAGGCATTTTGAGGGCAATTTTGATTTCCAACATGCGACAGTGCCAATTTTCTATCTAAAGGAACAGTTATTTCGCAGAAAACTGGCTTTTTGCTGCTGGATTCGAATTAGCGATTTCAGCCTGACAGTAACATCAGTGGAAGTTAAAACAAAGAATGTCACTGCTAATTCTTGAAAAAAGATATATTATAAATATCTCTGTGGAAGGAGGAGCTTGATGCAAAATTTGGTTTCTGTGAAGATTTAAATTTTGTTTATTCTTTATTTCAAGAATAGCAAAACTGTTCCGGCTGTCAGTGTGGTTGCCGCAGGGTGTTAGTTATATCTACAATGAACCAAGATCCCCTGAACAATCCGGGTTTCTCATACAAGTGATGTCATTTAAATGCTCTCATATTTTTTCTATTTTTGGCCAAAAAATACTGTTTTGAGGTGAAGAAGCTGCTTTTAGGTCAACTTCTCATATTTCTAGTCAGGTGCACTTCGAAACTGATGGTTGTTTTCTTGGAATTCGCACATAATTTCATTAATCCATTCTTTAATTTATCACTGTCGGGCTCTATTTTATTCACCAGTAAATCTACTTTGTCTTCAGTGCCATCGTTCGTCTTCTCGTTTTGAAGCGAGATCCAGATCCTTACAAATTTGCCGCAAGTCCCCGCGTGGCATGTCGGGAATCAAGAAATATTTACAGTCTCAGTTCCAGGTTGACTTTTTCGCTTTTTCTGTTATGGCCCTTTAGCAAGGTCACAGGATAAGCCGTGTCATTAGGTTTGCACTGGATCACTAGTGCCAGGAAGCATGAACTGCTTGATATATGTGTAAAAAAAGTAATGGTACGAAAAAGTACATCTGTGTTTCCAAATCTCTTGAAGCTTTCACTTTACTGTGTTTGAGCAGTGACATGGGGAATCTTCGAAAATGCATGATATTTTGAAAGAAGAGCTTTTGAACATTTTTTTAGTGCC